AAAAAAAGAACATTACATTCCTCCACTCAAAACCTTCGAAGTCTCACCAATTCACTCAGTGAATGTGGGAGGGACCTGTGAATTAATTATAACCAATAGAATTTGGCAGGGGTGATGCTACATCACTTTCATCATTATGTTGCTTAAGACTATAACTTCTATCTTGCCAGCCAACTGTCCATTGGCTTTGATGGAGCAAACTACTACATTGTGAGCTGCCGTATGGAGAGGTCCACATGGCAAGAAACTGAGGGCAGCAGGTGGCCAACAGCCAGCAAAAAATTAAGGCCTTCAGTCCAACAACCCACAAGGAATTAAATTTTGCCAATACCCACGTGATCTTGGAAATGGATCTTTCTGCAATCAAGCTTTGAGGTGACATTGCAGCCTGGTAAGAGACCCTGAAGCAGAAGGCCCCAATAAGCTGTGCCCAAACTCTTGACCCACAAAAACTGTGAGATAATAAATTTGTGTTGTTCTAAGCTAATACATTTGTTATTTGTTTAAAAACAAAACAAAACAAAAAGGCACAACAAATGTGGGTGAGGATGTGGTGTAGGGTTGGTGGGAATGTAAATATGTTATAGCCACTATAGAAAACAGTATGGTGGTTCCTCAAAAATTAAAACTAAAACTACCATATGATCCAGCAATCTCACTTTTGGGTATATATCCAAAGGAGATGAAATCACTGTCTTGAAGAAACACGTGCACTCCCATGTTCTTTGTAGCATTATTCACAAAGCCAAGACATGGAATCAACTTAAGTATCTATCCATGGATGAATGGATAAAGAAAATGTGGTATATATACATAGTGGAATATTATTCAGCCATAAAAAGAGAAGAAAATCCTGTCATTTGCAACAACATGGACAAGTTCTGAGGGCATTATACTAAGTGAAAAGTAAAAAAAATAAGACGAATACTATATGATGTCACTTATATATGGACTCTAAAAAGATCCAACTCATAGAAACAGGGTAGAATGCTGGTTGGCAGGGGCTGAGCAGTGGGGGAAATGGGAGATGTTGGTTGAAGGATATAAACTTCCAGTTATAAGATAAATGAGTTTGATCTAACTGTATAGCGTGGTGACTACAGTTAACAATACTAGTATTGTACACAAGGGGGGTGCTACTAGAGTAGGGCTTTAACGTTCTCAGCATAATAACAACAAAACGGTAATTATGTGAGGTGAAGGCTGTGTTAACCTTATTGTGATAAACATTTCATCATATACATGTTTATCAAATCATCACATTGTACACCTTGAGCTTACACAATGCTAATATGTAAATTATATCTCGATGAAACTGGGGGGAAAATAATCGCCCATTTGGAAGATTCAAACCTGGCTGACAGAATACTTGGGAGCCAGGATAGCTGAGATCTGGTATCCTAATGCCCAAAAGGGGAAGAGAAAAGGGAGTTGGGAAGGACCTCATTTCAGCTAAGCCCAGGGTCGTGAGGAACTTCAGCTCCCAGCTCTTTACACAATGCTTGACACACAAGTAAGTACCTGATTTGCAGATATCCTTATATAACACTCTCTGGTTTATATGGGTAAGTTTGTCTATAATTTCTTAGAACAGAAACTATTCAATAGAGCTTTTTCCTTCATTCTCTTGAGAAACTGCAGCTTTCATGAAAATGCACCTAAAAAAAAAAAATCTGTGCTCACTGACCAAGGAAAGCAACATGGAAGCTTGCCATCTATGTATTCAGGGCCTTAGGAGGGGAGAGGGAAAGGGAGAACAGCGAGGAAAATACTAGAAAATAGTAAAAACACCAACCTTGTGCCAGACTCTGTTGTGGATTGCAAAGTTATACTACCCACAAGGTGGTGGAATCCCAAGTCATAAAATTAATATATAACCTGGTCCAAAACCACTGAAATGCCAATGGCTCCAGCAGAAGTAAACCTGAAACTGCTCAAGTGCACTGCAGAGCTCATAGGTCTTTCCACATGTGTGTGTGTGTGTGTGTGTGTGTGTGTGTGTGTGCGCGCGCGCGCGTGCGCAGGATGTGACTTAAAATGAGAGCACAATTAAAAATTACACACATAAACAATCCAGCAATTTCAAGGATCAATTTATTCCACACAGTAAATAATAGTGGAAATAATAAAACAATGTAAAACGGACTATGAAACAAATTGCTTTAAAATTATGAAGGAGATAAAAAGAGGAAATGGAAATATGTTGAAAAAAATTGGGGCTGGCCTAGTGGCTCAGTTGGTTAACAGCCGGCTTGGGACGTCAGCTCTGAGCAGCAGGACCCCGGTTTGGATCCCACATGAGGGCCAGTGACGCTCGCCCTCTACAGCTAAGATGGTGAATAACAGCTCGACCTGGAGCTGGGCTGCTGTGAGTCGCTGGCGACCGCGGCGTAGGCTGCAATGGAGCTGCAGTGGGCTGCCATAAGCTACCGTGAGTGGCTGGCAGCCAGCGTGAGCTCTCAAGAGCCGCCGTGAGCAGCCGTCCAGTGACCAGCGACCGATCTGCTTCACCTGGGAAGAG